TCTCTTCACATGCAATTACAAATTTTCTGTGGGTATAGATTTGTGTTTTTGTTTTGGTATAGATTTGTGTTTTTGTTTTGGGTGGAAAATAATATTCTTTCAAAATTTCGAAGGCATTTTTTAAGTGCTTTTGAACCTCTAGTGCTGTGAAGAAGACTGTTGTCATTCTATTTTCTGCTTCTTTGTAAGCTCTGTTTTGTTTTGTTTTATATTTTATTTCATTTCATTTCCAGAAGCTTGTAGAATCCTCTCTTCGTTCATGGCATTCTGAATTATGAAAATCATGGGCCTTGCTTTTCACCCATTATGCTGGCACTTGGTGAACCCTTTCTGTCTGAGAACAAATTTTTGAATTGTTTTGTTACTGATTTCCTATTCTTTGTTTTCTCTACTTTTTCTTTCCCTGGACCTTCTGTTATTTGGATGTTTGACTCTTTAGTCCTCTTGTTTTCCTATAGTGTACTGTTCTTATTTCACAGATGCAACAGCTTTCCTGTTGTTATCCTCTCTGAGGATATTAGTGTTTTTTAAAAAATGTTTTCTTCATTTCCCATAGTTTCTGTTTAAGTTGCTTTTTTCTGTTTGTTTTGGTCTCTAACTTTCTTATTTGAGACTTTTCTTGGGCATCATATAATCTGGTTATATGCCATAGAATCTGGTTAAGAGTAGGGAACTGTTGGAAACTATGAGCCTCACTGTGGGATTATCTAACTGGGCCATTTGCTGAAGGAACCCCAATCTTCAGATCTTTCCTTTTGAGCTTCCTCCCCAAAAGTCTTAAAATATTTTGCTTGGAGAATGAAGTCTGGCTGCCAGCTCTCTCAGAACCTAGTGCTGGAAGAGGGCTGGGGAGACCAGCATTCAACACTTAGTATATATACAATCGTTTAATCCCTTCTTTTGGAACAGGATCCATGATCTCAACTGTACCAAATGTCCTCTATTACATCCTCCCCAGAAAACAAAACTCTGGCCTTCTACTGGGTAGGGGAGGAGTGTTCTCCATTCAAATAGAACAGAGGAGGGGACCTAGGGATTTAATTGTTTCTCAAACAGATTTTCCGCTCTTCTCCTTCCCCCCTACTTACATAGAGATCTTGGCTGCAGTTCCTGAAGATTCTTCGGGGTAAATTGGTTGGTCCTCCATGTTCCCTTCTCTTGGCTTAGATTTCAGCTTTCTAGGACTCATCGTCAGTTATCATTTATCCACCTGCTTTCCAAATTCCAAAGTATTTTGCTATTATTATCTCTTTTCCTATTTTCTCTGACCATGTGGATTTTTTATCTTTAAAAAAATTTCTCAGAGTAGGTCTAGTCAGGTTTGGGGACGGAGTGAAATTAGATGGGTTTGTTCAATCCACCATCTTAATCCAGAAGTCCTTTGAAATATTTTCTTCAATTGGCTTTAGTGACACTGTTCTCCAGAGTGTCATCTTAGTTCATCCAGTGCTCAATCCCCTCCAGTACTGGGTCCCCCTTGTCTGTCTGACTTCTACATCTCTTAGGGCCTCAGAGGATTTTGATATCCTCTTCTTTATCTGTATTCTCTTAAGTGGCTTCATCCAGTCCTAGGGCTCTAAATACCACCAATATGCTTATGCTTCCCAAATTTATATTTCTAGCTGGACTTTCCTTCTGAATTCAGAACCGCCTACTTAGTGTTTTCCCTTGGATGTCCAAAAGGCATCTTAGTTTATTCACCCTCCCCTCCCCCAGCATTCTCCTCAGTAAGAGGCCCCAGCATGAACCAGCTACTTAAGCTAACTAGAGCTTCATTCCTTGATTTCTCTTTTTCTCACATCTAATCCCTTGGGAAATCCTGAAGTCTCTATTTTTATTTTTATTGGAATTAAGGTTGCTAATCAGCTGATTTTATTTTATGTGTGTATGTATGTATGTATGTATGTATGTATGTATGTATGCAAGTATTTAACAGTAAGGCATATCTATATTTACACTGTGTGTTCACCTCCCATAGTTAGATTTCTTTCTGTCACCACACATTTGACTCCCTTTACACCATTGACCTCTCCCTTCCCCTCAGCCCCTGCCCTCTGGTAACCACTAGTCTATAGTCCATGTCCATGAGTCTTTATCCTGTTCATTTGTTGCTTTTAGGTTTATATCCCACATATAAGTGATAACATGTCTGACTTATTGCACTCAGAATAATGTTTTCAAAGTTCATCTATGCTATAGCATGTATCAGTACTTCATTTCCTTTTATGGCTGAGTAATATTCCATTGTATGGATAGACCACATCTTATTCATCCATTCGTCAGTTGATGGCCATATAAGTTATTTCCACTTTTGGCCACTGTGAATCATGCTGCTATGAACATTGGTGTGCAAATATCTTTATGAATATGATTTGTTAAGTCTTGGGGGTAAATACCCAGTAGAGGGATTGCTGGATCATATGGTAGATCAATTCTTAGCTTTTGAGGAACCTCCATACTGTTTTCCATAGCGGCCGTACCAATTTGCAGTCCCACCAGCCAATTTTCAGTCCTACCTTTTTCTCCGCATCCTCTCCAACATTTGTTATTACTTGTTCTGTTGATTACAGCCATTCTAACAGGTGTTAGATGGTATCTTATTGTGGTTTTGATTTGCATTTCTCTAATAGCTAGCGATGACGAGCATCTTTTCATATGTTTGTTCGTCATTTGTATGTCGTCCGAGGAGAAGTGTCTGTTCATATCCTCTGCCTATTTTTTGATTGGATCGTTTGTTTTTTTGTTGTGATCGAATCGTATGAGTTCTTTGTATATTTTGGATATTAGGCCCTTATTAGAAACATTGCTTGCAAATATATTTTCCCATTCTGATGGTTGTCTCTTTACTTTGTTGACAGTTTCTTTTGCTGAGCATAAGCTTTTTAGTTTGATGTAGTTACATTCATTTATTTTTGCGTTTACTTCCCTTGGCAAATGGCAGTATTTCTTCTTTTCTTATGGCTGAGTAATATCCCATTGCTGAAGTCTCTATTTTTAATATATAGCCCCAATGTGGCCACATCTCATCGCTTAAACGTTATGTCAGATGTCGTTAAGCAGAGAAGTTTTCTGAAACACTCCATATAAGGTAGCACCCCTTCCGGCACAGCACCCTCTGTACGTATGTGTATATCCAATTCCAGTCCAATACCACAGAAGAGATTTTATTTCTCTCCCTTTGCATATTTGTAACTCCCTTCTCCAATAGTGAAAAACCTGGCTCTTATCATCAGCAGCTAAAAATGATCTTAGGTAGAGTCTGAGGCCCTGGCATTTCAGAGAAGAAACAGAGTAATACAGCAGTGAAGTGAGTAGCTAATCCAACATGGCACTAGGTAGTTTGTACAGAATTTTTACATTTGGGAATTGTGTAATAATGTGCTCAGCCTTTGAGGAGCATTAATGATATACTATTATAATTTACTTTAAAATGCTCCTTTAAATAATTTCTTCTGAGAAATGTTTTTAGAGACTAAAGTTGCCTGGCACTGATAACCTGACATTAATACTCAGTACATTAAACAATCAAAATATATTCCATTTTTTTTTTTTTTTGACAAAAAGTAGAGGCTGGGGGAAAGCATTTCCCTTGAAATGGTCTCGTCTTAGTTGTATTTTTCTAGACAGGTGAGTTTTTCCAAGGAAAAAAATTTGGAGAGAAGCTACTTCAACCCTAGGGACATAGTTCTGATGCAGAATTGTCTTAGCCATTCTTCCTGGAAGTGGCCTCTTTATTTCTTTCATATTGTCCCAATGCTCAAGCATCCTCTTATCTCCTTGAAAAGATTTCCTGAACATTTGGTCTGTGACAAGAGTGACCTTGTAACCCCTCCCAGAGTCTGGAAGTGACTTTTTTGGTCACCTTAACACAACCACTCAAGAGCTTCCTCCTTGATTTATTTGTTAATTCTGGCTGAAGACCACAACAGTGTTTAATGTTTGCTTCATAAAACCAGTAAGTCCAGCTGGTGGGGGGATGGGGGGTTCCTTTGAAAATAATTGTACTCCTTCTGAAGTCCATTTCACTCATTGCCTACTTTTTTTTTCTTAATCCTCTCTGAGGATGTGCCTTTTCCTAATTCCCACAAAGGACCTGCTGGGGCTACTGGTTGCCCAGTCATATAACCTTAGAGTCAGAGTAGTGCTGGGAACAGTGGCATCAAATTTAGACGGGCAGAAAGATGCGATGGGGGCACAGCTAGCTACCAGCGAGGAGCAGTGTGGTCAAAGAACCAGGATGCCTTTGTGGATTTTTAATTATTGTTAACTTTTGGTACATGGCATGTAATGTAAACCATTTCCCTGTTTTCAGTAAAATCTTCATTACCTGAAAAAAAAAAATGTGACCTGGGGAGCCTGGAAAAACTGTGCCCACATATGGAAGATGAGTTCTGCTGCAAAGTCATCAGTTTGGGGCAACTTGAAAAAATACACAGCACCTTTTATGCTATATATTAACTAACTTTCTATCAACAACAAAGCTTCTTCAAACAAACAGAGATTCACGGACTTGGACAATAGACTAATGATTACCAGAGGGAATGGGGAAGGGGGAAAAAAATAAACAAAATGTTAAGTAAATAAATAAATAAATAAAATTGTCAAAACAAACAAACAAACAAAAACAACAAAACTTCTTATAGAAACGGAGGTCAGTTGCCAGGCAGGTCTCCCCCCGCCCCGCTGTTGTGTCACAGATGTTTGAGGTCCGTGGTCATAAATACTTGTTGAAATCCCTGGGGGTCTTCATGGTCCCTCCCTGTAGAAGCAGAGGGTAGCACTGTTGTTAGCGTGCTGTCCCTAGAGTCCAGCAGTGTGCTGATCACCTGCTCATTACATTTTGGACCTGTGAAATGACATTTTGATGAGTTAGATGACTATGTGCCACCTGGGATTTTTCACTGTTTAAGCCATTCTTGGCTTTCCTTTTTTCTTTTTTTTAGCTGGATTCCATGACAACACTAAAAAATGTGTTTGTGCTGCTTCTTTATTTTCATTAGGGTACCAGAACATCTTGTGAAGAGCATAACTTGGCAGACGTTGCAAGCTGTAAATTTTTGCCATAAGCACAATGTAAGTCTTATGATTTCCCTTGAAAAATCAGAAGGCTGCCCTTAAGCTGAGGTGGAGCCTTTGTTCAAAGTTATATTGTCTTTTCATGGATATAATTTTTCACCCAAATCTTCTTTACAGAAGGCTGGTTGGGATAAATAAAGACTAAAAGTGCCAACCTAGCTATTCCTTCTTGTTCACAATTCATAAAAGATGCACTTTTATGATTTTTAATAAAGTAGTTATACTTGTATACTGATCGGAAACTACTCAGATTTAAGGTAGCATCCCATTCACTTGGAGTCTGTACAGGTACCCTCAAAATACTCCGAAATTGGAGCGGGAAACCCTATGGGACTCATGCCTGTTTAGTTGCAGTAGGTGGAGTCCTAAGCATGATGCACAAGTGCTAGTGTCTGCTTTGGTGAGATATGAGTGCTAGGTCTGAAACGCAGCAGCCCAGTGGAAGCCTCTGACACTCTGGACACAGCGAGGCCTAGTGGAGGCAAGGTGGGCCTAGGTGGTGTGATTTCATAGATGCTGGGGAGCCTGCTGCTCCCTCCAATACAATACTGTCTGTTCCCTGCACACAGAAGCCAGATTCCAATATTGTAGTTTCATTTTGGCCACAAAGGCAGTTTGACCGCAATATGTCATTCTACCGAATGCCAGGGTCAATTTTGTTGGTGGGCCTGAATCCCCATCTTCGAGCTGTTCTAAGTGATTTGTCCTGACGCTGCCTTCTCAGAAGTAACAAATATGGAAGTAGCCAGCACTTCTCCCTACCGAGTCTCCGCCTCGCCAAGGGCTACAGTCCTTTTCAAAGTGCATGTATATAGCAGGGAACGTGGATACTTTATATTGCTATTTACTGCAAGTGAGGGTTAGCACTTTCCTGAGAGCAGGTTTTAGGATGGGAGAGCAAGAGAGACTGCATAAAGGCCCTGGTGAGGAAGTCAGAGACGCTAAAGACAAATACAGTGCATACCACAGTTCCCTGGAAAGCCCCTGACACTCTGTTTGGCCATATGTGCTAACGGGGGGAGGGTGCAGGAGCTTTAAAAGAATTCTCAGAACAAAATAGGAGCACATTCTTGCTCACGAATACTTCTGACCATCTGGCACCATGATATTCACGGGTGTACCCATTTATAGTAGTATGTGAAGCCAGTGGTAAAAGAGTGGAGATCTCAGGGCCATTAATTGCTGAGAACCAGATAGACTGTAATAAAATAACTCAGAAATTGTCTCTCAGATTTTTTTCCAGAGTAATTAATACCCTTGAGGAAACACTGACAGTGATCTCTCACTCTGAAGGTTCCTGGGAGTGAGTACCAGGCCAGGCCTAAGGAGAACCTCTGTCTTCTCTCCAAATTCTAGAAAGTTAAGAATACCCCAGGGTTTCAGCTGCAAACCAAACAGAGTCTTTCACTGCAGAAGGATCCAACATTCTCTCTAGAGAGGAAAACACTTGGAAGAAGGGAAGATTATTAGGAACTCTGTAACAGTATTTTAACCCAATTGTTGTTTCTGTGTAATTATTAATTAGGTTGTTGATTTGTTCTTTGCCAAGAAAATTATTTAATAAGAAAATCATGTGGAGCTTCAGAAACATTCTTCTCACATCTCCCTGTTAAACAATGTCAGCTGTGGTTTGGAAACCACAGGTGATTTGAGTCTAAACTATGGAGTGTAGGCTACATCCCATGGGGGTGGATGCAGCTCAAAGAACACTTGATGTGTGTGGGATGGAGCTGACATCTAGCGACTGTCTCCAGAGAGTGAGCACTGCCTACTCTTGTTTATCTTGTCAGGACAAATGTCAGAGCTGGAAGGGCGGTCTCTTGGCAAGCTCCCGGTTCCGCCCTTCTCTTCTCTAGTTTATCTCAACAGGCCCAGGGCTTGTCCTGTTTACCAGGCAGACTGTGTTCTGTTCTGTTAAACAACTGAATGATGAATTCTGCTTATGCACCAACTTGCAGCTCCAGCAGCCGCAGTGAAAACCTCGTCCAGGGCCTTTTAACATTTCCCTTTCACTTAGGGTTGCCAGATTAAATAAATATAGGACATCCAGTTAAATTTGAATTTCAGATAAACAATTATAACTTTTTGATATACGTATGTCTCAAATACTGCATGGAACATATTTATACTTAAAGATTGTTATCTAAAATTCAGATATGCCTGGGTGTTCTATATTTTTATTTGCTAAATCTGTCTACCCTACTTTCATTTTCCCTTTCACCCTTGTGACTTTTGGGTCTTTCAGGAATTTGGGATGATTCAGGCTATGATATGTATGGTACTAGATTTATTTTATGCTCCTATTTTGTAAAATTTGCTGCTATTTTGCTGTTATCCAAAAGGCCAGTGAGAGATTCAAACGATTTCTCAAATATCTGCTAAATATTCATGTGTTTTATTTATCCCGTATGTTACGGTTGCTCTTTAATAATCTGTTTTGGTTTAATTTTCGTGGCTAGTGCATACATAGAGATGTGAAGCCAGAAAATATCCTCATCACAAAACATTCAGTGATTAAACTTTGTGACTTTGGATTTGCTCGGCTTTTGAGTGAGTATTGAAGTCTTTCTTAAGGGTAGAAGATGGAAAGATTCTTTATATGATTTCAGTCTAAATGCTATAGAAAGCTAGTTCTTGGATATTTAGGGCATAGGCTTGATATAAATTACAATTCCATAATTATTGAAAACATATAGACACATACAGTTGTTTAAAATTATACCATAGTAAAGTGGTTACTGAAAAGTATGTCACCCTCCTGGTTTCTACCATTTTTTGCTAAAAATAGTACTTTTCAAAAGTACTATTTTAGAAGAGTGGTTTTCAACTTTGGCTGCAGATTAGAATTATGTGGGGAACTATATAACTATAAAAACTATACTGATCTCCCCCCACCCATCCAGGGATTGTGGTTTAATTGGACTAGGGTGGTGACCAAGCATCAGTAATTTAAGAAATACTATATTTCAACTGATTTTATTGTGCAACAAGCATTGAGAAACGTTGATTTAGAAAAGCCACAAGATGGGGCACAAGCTCGATGTCTGGGGTCTTCTTCCTCCCGTTTTTGACCCCATGCTCCCACTGCTCTGTTTTCCATGTCCCATCACCGGCCAGCTGGACCAAGTGACTACTACACGGACTACGTGGCTACCAGGTGGTACCGCTCCCCGGAGCTGTTGGTTGGGGACACACAGTATGGCCCCCCAGTAGATGTTTGGGCGATTGGCTGTGTCTTTGCTGAGCTCCTGTCGGGGGTGCCTCTGTGGCCAGGAAAATCAGATGTGGATCAGCTCTACCTGATCAGGAAAACCTTGGGTAAGAGGTGTCTTTGTCCTGCTTTTGGGAAATTGGGTAGTTTTACCCCTGTCCGTGCAAGGCGGAGCCAAGCTCCTAGTCTCATCTAATGCCCTTCACAGTTATGAAGGAGGGAAACTCTCAACGTCCCGTTTAAATGACCCCATTCAAGGTATCCACATTTGTTTTAATAAAAAGAATCAACAATTTTGTGTATGTACTAATTGTCGAAAAAGACACAAGATTCTCTCTTCAGCGTAGTTTGGATCAAGTCAAACTCTGACTAATGATCATGGAAACAATAAAAACATCCATTTCTATAAGGGCTTAGCAGTTTACAGAATGCTAATCTATTTTATTTCATTTATGAAGTGGTAATTCATTCTTTTGATATCCTTGACTTCAGCCTGCCAGGATTGTTTGGATTATTTAGATGCTGTAAAGTAGGATTCTCAACCTTCTAAGTGTCAGGAAGGAAGGCTCATTCTTCTAGTGTCACCTTCTCATCTTGCTTTCCCATCTCCAAGCCCTTTCCTTTCTTTCTGCTTTTGGGGTGAAGGGGGAGGGTTGGAGAAGAGACAGAAGGAGAGGAACAGATGAAAAAGCCTGGAAGCAGTAATTGTTCTCTTCAAAAGTCAGGAAGTTTGGTTACTGCTTCCAGTGTATCCTAATTTAAAGTGAGCTTTTCCTCCTCTAATCTCTTGTAGCACCTGTTGTCACCATGTCTTGTCTTGTACTTTTATCTTCCCAAAAATATTATAAGCTGCCTGAGGGTGAGATCATGTTTTTTATTTCCATCTGTCCTCCACCAGTGTCTGCACGTAGTATGCAGTAAATACTTGCTGATGGCTTTCGTTGAGTGACATGTAAGGCACCTTGGGGCCCTTCCAGGGACACTGAGCCTTCCTTTGCTGTTTCCCTGGGTGATTTTAGGACACCCTCTCTGTGTCCCTTCTCCCCTACTCCTCAGCTCTCTGATGGAAGAAAGTTGTAAAGGTACAGGCACTGTTCCCATCACAAAGCTCACCGAGACTGGGGGCAAGGTATTAGAGAGTATATTTGGCCTGCTGGTCCAAAATGGGGCGAGACAGCAGCTTTTGGATTTGAGTGAGAGGTAAAGTTCCAAACCAAATTGATAAAGTCAGACAACTTGATACCCTGAGGTGAGAACTCCAACCCAGTCCAATAGCAGCATTTCTGGGGCCCTGGTTTAGAGGTTTTTGTCCTTGACTCTGCTCTGGGAAATGGGCCTTAGTGTGCCCCAGAGGTGCCTTTCTGAGTCTCCTTATAGTCTCTGAACAAAATTCCTCAAGTGCAGTTTCCCTAAAAATTTACACAGAGGTGATGTTAGCTGATTTGGTTGAAATGTGGGCAGAGTAAGCCTCACATAATACAGAAATGCTTCTTTCATTGCTTCACATCATAAGAGCTTCTAAACAGTAGATGAAATGGGATTTTCAGGTGATCACTACTTGAGGAAACAAGAAGAGGTGGTTCCAATTTAGAAATGTATTCATTCTAGCAAGATCTTTCATGATTTGTCTTCCTTCCATCTTCCCTCTCTCCCTCCCTTTCCCTCTCTCTCTCCCTCTCCCTTCCTCCTTTTCTCCCTCTCTTCCTCCCTCCCTTCCTTCCTCGTTCCTTCCTTCCCTTCTTTCTTTCCTCATATATTTATTGAGTACTTACTATGTGTCAGGCACTGTTCTAAGTGTTAGGCCAATACACTTTTATCTTGACTCAACAGGATTCAGTTAATATGATTTTGATTTGTAGTTGCTGCCTTTCACCATTTAAAAAAAAAAAAAAGAGGGTGTTACCTGATTTGTGTGTGTGTGTGTGTGTGCTTCTGAGTTGTTTGATTTCCTTAAATACACTGTGAGCCTCGAGGGGCAAGAACCTCGTAGCTTTCTGTTTCTGTGCACGCCTCCTCTATGCCTAAAACGGCACTTCGCCCACTGTAGGTCTCAGTACAGGTTTTTGAAGGTTGTCTTGATGCCTCTTGGAAGAGCAAACTGCGGTCTTTGTAGGCGTAGGCACAGGCAGACACTGCACTAGTGGAGGGAAACTATAGATCAGTGCTTGCTAATCAATCTCATTTTATCTTCCCTTTCTTCTTGTCTAAAGGAGACCTCATTCCTAGACACCAGCAAGTGTTTAGCACAAATCAGTACTTCAGTGGGGTGAAAATTCCAGACCCTGAGGATATGGTGAGTGACCCATTTTGGAAAGAGTTCTGCATATCTGGGCTAAGGTTGCCAGCTTGTTTAACTGGTGATCATTCTGTTTACACATGGAGTTGCAGGCTAACTAGGTTTTGGTAGTTACTCACCTGCCTGACCCCCATGATCTTTCTGCACTGAAAGATCAATTTAAGAGTGGAAAAGAAAATTGGGCTAATTGGCTAGCCAGACCCTCGCCTTCACTGCTAATTTAAAGGCTGCTGATGGCAGAGCTTAGCCAGCATGATGGACAGGAATGCAGAGCTGCCTGCCTTAACCTCACCTGTTCACCATTTTCAGCAGCTGAAGCTAGGTAGCTCAGAGCCAATCAATTTTTAGACAATGACTCATCCAGGAAAATCCAGCAGCATCCAAATCTCCTACTCTACTGTGTTCTCACTCCCCAGACTGGGGGTGGGGGGGGGTGGGGAGCGGTCAGGGGGAAGGTAATGAACTTGCATGGTCAGCCTTACTCTGGTGCCTGTCCTCTATGGCCAATGTGGGGAACACATTCATTCTAAAAAAACTGAGAAATTAAAAATGTGCATAACCTTAGCCCACTTTCAAGAATTTATTCCAATGAAATTATAAGACAAAGGAATAAAAATGTAGCATTATTTGATAGAAATTTCCTTTAGTGTTTTATCAGTAGAGGATTAATTAAACAACATATGGTATATGCTTATAATTAAAAATACATAGCCAG